TGAAAAAAACAAAATAATTTTATCAGGACAAAATTTGATATACAGAATATTGTGAAGACCCAAATTAAATCAAGCATTAGATATTGTGACTTACAGGAAAAAGGGGAACATGGGTTAATAAAGACTGGGTTAGCGTACAGAAGTTAACTGGCTAGTTAATACGCCTACCAAAAGAAGTAGGTTTTTTAAAGAATTTGTTAGGGGACGGAACCCCATTGAAAATAAATTTGGCAAGTTAATAAACTGATAAGAACATTGCAGACTTAGAATAAAAGTCTAAGAAGAAGAGAGTTTGATGTGTGAGTGAGTATTGTGAATCGACGCAAGTCAGAGGGGCTGGGATCGGACATATTTGTTTATTACATAAGATAGGTAGATGGCTGTGCAATAGTGGAAAACTTTTGACAGGATTATTAAGAAGGTGGTACTTGGAGACTTCCTTACTACTAGGTTTATAAATTTATTTCACACAGTTACGTTAGACACAGTGAAATAACAGTTATAATTCATTTTTAAATCTCTTGAGAGAAGTCAAAACATGACATTCCTTTGACATAAATAATAATAATAAAAAAATAATAATAATAAATATATATTTTTTTATTTAAAAAAAAATATTACAATTGATGTTTTAAGAAAATGACCTGCTGAGGGTCGAAACATCGATTGTGATACAGATGTAAACTTTTTTTCTGCCACATTAACCACGAGTCAATTTACAAGTCCTGCGGGCGCACTCTTTATCCTAATTGTTGGAAGAATATTAACAATCGGATATCAATGCTAACTCAGAGTTTTTAGTTGTTTTCAGTATATTAGGTTTAAATTTATTATTGGATAGGTTTTCTAAACAGCTCTACAAAGCGTAAGGTGAAAAGCTTAGATGAGATACAAAATTATAAATATTTATAAAAAGGTAATAAATAACATTTTATTTAAAAATAAAATAAATGGAGATAGAAAAGTGTCCTGGTACGGAATGCAGCATATTAAAAGACCAGGCAGCTAATCATAGGTATTGGTAGAGGATGCAGCATATTAAAAGCCCAGGCAGCTAATCATAGGTATTGGTAGAGGATGCAGCATATTAAAAGCCCAGGCAGCTAATCATAGGTATTGGTAGAGGATGCAGCATATTATAGGCCAGGCAGCTAACCATAGGTCTTGGTAGAGGATGCAGCATATTATAGCCCAGGCAGCTAATCAT